GACTGGAATTTTTGGAAGGGTTTGAAGAGAACCAGTTACTGGTTTCCTGAGTTCTAATGATTGTCCCCCAGAAGTTCACATTCTGAATCTCATGATCTTTCAACCCCACTGGCTTAAAAACTACAAACTGGAAAAAGTCAAAAAAGTGAGCGTAGTGAGAGTTTGGTGGGCTTGTTGGGGCTACATCATTATTTTGTTAATTAACCCAAATTAAAAAAAAATTATGATTCTTCATCAGAACTGAATCCCTATGAATGTTGGTGATCTGATTCATGATGGCCAGGAGTAATATCTGGTGGTTCATCAAGGACCAGAGGGTACATCTACACAGCAAAGAAAAACCCATCGTGCCTGGTCAATTGGCTCGGGCTCATGTGGCTCGGGCTGAAGATGTGCTTTGCAGTGTAGTCGTCTTGCTTGAGCTGGAGCCTGGCCTTTGAAAGCCATTGCTCAGGGAGAGTCTCAGTGCTGAGGTGGGAACGTCTACGCAACTATGCCTGCAGCCTGAGCCCCACAAGCCTGACAGGACTCTGAGGCTTGGTGCTGCAGGTTTTTCTTTGCAGAGTACACATGCCTGCAGAGGCTCAGAGTTTAACGCCAGAAGGGACTAGCAGATCTTCTAGTCTGACTTCCTGTGTATCACAGGCCACCAGCATCACCCAGCACCCGTATATCAACCCCAGTAACCAGAATTAGACTAAAGTATTATAGTTTCCTGACAATCAGGATCTTCACCATAGAAACTGTTGCCTCTGTGAAAGTGTTCGGGACCTCCTGAACTGGCTGAAGATTTTTAAAGAAGAACAGGATGTGGGACAATCCACTGCTGCTTGCTCCGCACAGCTGGAGACATCGCTATGGCAAAGATCCGGCTCCTGGTGCAGATGGCTCAAGAGCTCTGTTCCTCAATCAGCTGGACAGGAGAGCGGTCAAAATTTTTGGATGAATTTTTCCCCCCTCTTCAAATAATGGTCTTTAAAGCAAATGTAAATAGAGAATCATTTTTGCAATCAGTCAACCAACCCATCAATCAATAAATGTCGTATTTGCAGGCAAAAATGGCAGTTTTTTGACAAAAGATTTCACGTTCCAAAAACTCCAAGCAGTTCTACTAGCCAGTTGATTCAGAGCCAGCTAAATAGTTTAATGAAGCTCAAGATCTCTGACTTAGCAGGGGCTCATTTCTTGCACACCAGGATCTTGGTAAACGGAGTTGTTGCTTTGTTATTGTCTCTTGCAAATAACTGGGAAATGAATACACAAAAACTCTGCACTGCATGTGAGTTAAGGTTGCTCTTAACAGCCTACAGCAAGGCAATGAAAAGTTGAGGTTCCCAATAGTCCGTGCCTTCTGCTCCCTCTTCCACAGACACACATCGCTCCACTAGCCGGACTACCTCCACCACAGCGAGTGCACCTCAACCCTAACTCTGTCCAGCTGCAGGACCAGCCTTCCAGCACCTCCTTACCCAAACCTGAGGGTCTGCAGCGACAGTGGTGGGTGGGGGAGTCTGGTCTGTAATGGAGTCTGGTCTGTAATGGAGGGTGGTGGAATTTGCAACAGCAGCTTCTGATTTCAAGCATACTCAACTTGAGCCAGGTAGGGCCTGAGCTGTGGAAGTGCTCAATGCCCACAGCTCTTTGTGCCCACGAGAACTGTGCATGCACTCAGCAGCTTGGAGAATCCTGCCCCCTGTGTCTCAAGTTGGAGTCACCCCAAAGCCACGGCTGCTGTTGAAAATGTGGCTATGAGTGATCTGGCCAAGGCCACACAGTGAGTCAGTGGCAGAGCGGGGTCACAAGGCAGGAATAAAGCTAGCTGGCTATAGGGGAACAATTATGATTTATGAATGGAAATTTGTCTGGCTCTGTTCCCGCCTCTTATAGCAAGCAGTTCTAGGACGCTCGTCTGAGCAAAATGTTATTGCCAACCAGTCACTGAAGATAAATTCCAGGCCTGCTGCTGAGATGTGCTCAATCGTAGAGCAAATTGAATGTTGTCGTGAAACTCAGTTCATTTTGGGCAGTCAGGGAAGCGGATGCTAAAGGTGAGGTCACCCAGTCAGAGAACAGGGATATTCCCATGTGACTGAGGTCAGAGAAGCTCAGACTTCTTGGATCACATTTTTATACAAAGATCATCTCATCATCACCTGGCCTTACATCCATGATCCCACAAAATAGCACCCTGGCTGTTCACAATGACCCAACCTCCTCCTCTCCCCGCTGTGCTCACACAGACCACTTCCATGCCTTCACAGAGACATCACCCTCCCTTCCATTCCCAGCCACCACTACCCTGATCCCCTCCCTTCCTACGTACAATAGTGTGCCAACAGCAGCCATTACTTCCATGGAAGAGTGATATGGGAAGGTATTGAATGGACTGTAGCGATCTGTGCTGCAGTTCAATAGCTGGAAGGAAGGAAGAAGAGCCAGTGTTGTGTGATCAGGCAGATCCTATGGAGCACAATTTGGGAAGCTCTGACTTTGGGGACTAAACACATAGCTCTAAAAGGATATCCTCAGTGAACGGTGAAGGAGCATGGGCTAACAGTTGTTCACATAAACTATTCATTGAACGGTTGACTAAAATTCCCCCGAAGCATGACCTTCCCATGGACAGTTCACCAACTGAAATTCACAGAATACACTGTCTGCGGTGGCAAACTGGGCCATGTCTGCTTCTGGCTCCCACTCCCACACGTCGCTTGCTCGACCCCATTGCCTGCCAGTCACATGCCTGAACAACGACATGCACCAAGAGCCGGTTAAAAAGCCACCAGAGAAAAAGTGAAAACAAAGCTGAGACAGACCTGAAGTTGGGCCGGGGCTTGCTCTAGAGCTCTGTCGACCCTGACAAATTTAGGACCAGACGTTGCCACCGTTGCAGATCCACTGGCGGGGGAAACAGCAATGTAGACCAGGACTCTGGTGTTTTATCCTCATGTTGCCTTGCTCCGCAGGCAAGAGAGGAGCTGAGGGTTCAAACACATTTATGGCAGGCTTGGTAAATCCACAGCAATACCAGCTAAGTGAAGGAGTCTTGATGGCGATCGCACGGCTACTTGCTCCATAGGGAACAGCTAAACCAAACAAAAGAGAAATCCAATAAGCGGGATAGGTTAGAGAAGCAATTACAGGATTATTGTATCACCCGTCCTTCAGTCAAACACAAAACTAGCCAGCATCACTTCTCTATTTAGGCATTAGAATTTGCAGGGCAGGGTCAAAATTCACTGGGTCCAGGTGCCAGATCTGAGTATTTGTGGGACCGCAATGGATTTTATTGGTGCAATTGCAATGGCTAGGCTTGTTCCCTACGTAAACAGTAGAATTAGAGGGAGCTGGAGTGAAACTGGACTCAAATTGCCGTCTCCATGAACAAAGAGTGTGTGCCACGCTGCATACAGTGACCTAGGGAAAGCACAGGAAAACACAGGGATTTGTTACCTGTTTAGAATTTTAACAATTCCCACCTTTCCAATTTGTGGTTAATTGCACAGTGAAATCTAAATGTGTATGCCCCAAAAGGCTCTTTCCGGCTTCCTTTTATGGTAAGTTACATTTATTGAATTGTTCAATAAAGCACAAAAACAAAAATCACAACCAGAAGATCGTCACAAGCCACACAAAGGAAAGACCCCACCTTATGCCTGGAGCATGCAGTCTAAAGGCAGACAATTCCAACTATCCTCCTCTCACAGGGCTCCAAGACAGTCAGTCATCCTTGTCTCTTTTAAATATTAATTTCTTCTCTTAGCTGCTCCTGCTCCATCTCCCCTGTTCCCCGCTCCCCAAGGGCATGCCTTGGCCCATTAGGGAGATGAGCATTGTTTAGCGGTCTGGTAAAATCCCCGCTCTCCCCCCACTCCCCCCATTCCACTGCCTAAATGGAGAACAAGTCTAGCTACTCGCTTGAGCACCGAGAAACGAGATCTAGGCATCCTGGCATAACAGCGCTGGAAAAACGTATCCTCATGGATCCAGTCCATATTTAACCCCAATCCCTGCAAATCCCCCCCCCCCCCGATGCTGGATCTGTGTTTTGGTGGTGTCGTTGTCCTGGAATATGCTGATGTGTGTGTGTGCGGACACTGTTGTTGTAGCCTTGTGGGTCCCAGAATATTAGAGAGACAAGGTGGGTGGGGTACTGTCTCTTATTGGACCAACTTCTGTTGGTGAGAGAGACAAGTTTTGGAGCTACACAGGTCTTCAGGTCTGGGCAAGGTACTCAGCGTGACACTGTGGCGCTGGAGGGAAAGCGTGTCTCTCCCCAACAGAGGCTGATCCAGTCAAACATATTTCCTCACCGGCCTTGTCTTTGTTAGCGGAAACGTCAGGGCTGGATCCAGGGGCTGGATGTGGGTGCCCAAGGTGATGTGCTGACATGCAGTGAGCTCCCAGTGGGACAATAGGAGAGACTCCACTTGGTGTATGACACGGCTTACGCCAACCTCTCCCTATGGAGATCAGGCTGGGGGCGGGACGGGGGGGGGTCAGAGACCGCCTCGGCAAGGCTCTTCTCCCTTCCTCTGAAGCATCTGGTGCACTCAACTGCCCAAGCATCTCGGTGGCCCACGGGCTGACCCAGCATGACCCCGCCTGCAGTCTCTATTTGTGCGGCTCCCAAGCTGGCTGGAGCTGCGAGGGGGGCTGTCGTGGCACCGGTGGGGGGGGGGTGCCCTGTAGGCAGCCGAGTGGGTAGGGGGCGCGGCCCGGCCGGTCAGAGCCTGGGGAGCAGGCCGGGACCGGCTCTGGGCGGAACGGGGCCGCTGGCCCTTTAAGAAAGTTCAATCGTGCGAGTTCATCAAAGTTTAAAAAGTTTTTCGTGGAAAAAAAACTGTGGTGGGGGGGGGCAGGAAAGTTGGCTGCGGGCGGCGGGGATTGGCTGCGGGTTCCCCGGGAGACGGTGATGCAGGGCGAGGGGCCGGGCCGGAGCCCAGCTGAGCCCCCCTCTCCTCCCCCCCGCCCGGGCGGGCTGCGCCGAGCCATTGATGACCCTATTGAAAAGGCGCAGGCGGCAGCTCGGGGCTGCACTCGGGGCCGGCGGCTGCAGCTCGTTGGCACCTTCCCCCTCCCTTAATTGCTCCTCAGCCAACTCCATGTGAGCCCGGCCGGGTACAAATAGCCCCGCGCCGCGTTCCCCCCCACACCGCGCACCTCGCCCACGCCGCACTCCCGTTCAGTTGGGCGGTGGCCAGCCCGCCCCGCACCCTCCCGGGCAGCACCAGGGCACCCAGCCTGGACACCATCTCCGCACCTAGCTGCACCCCGGAGCCTTTTGTTTGTTGGTCACCCACAGGCACCATTTCCAAGCCCAGCCCAGGACCGCAGCTCCCCCGAAAGCCTCCTGCCCCCAAGAGAGCCAAGCCCGGGGGAAGCCCTGCGATCCCTGGACAAAGAAGCTACAAAGAACCCAGGACCGTCCACTCAGCCCCCTGCACCCCCGCCATGAGCAACCTCAACAAGGAGAGTGAGCACAGTAACAGCAGCAACAACATCGAGGAGGAGGTAAGGGGCTGGGGAGCTCTGCCCTCTTCCTTGGAGGGGGCTGGGAGGGTAGGCTCAGGGGCTGGGAGGGTTTGGGGTTCCTGGCCTGTCTCTGTGGGTGGGGTGGTAAATTGGCTAGGGAGGTGTAGGGCTTAATGGGGAATTTGGATCCTAGTCTCCCTTGCCCTTAGCTAGGTGGGATGCGGACCTGAGCATGTACTCCTTATTGGGGGTGTGAGCACAGGCTGGTCTCAAAGAGCACCTCTGATGCTCCCCACAAGTACACCCCACTTCCCTTCTGTGGGGCTGAGCCTCCTTAATGGGCTCAAAGTGTCCAAGCCCACCAGAAATGTAAAGCCCTGCTCTTCCCTCAGTGCCCACCTTGGCTGGGGCTGGGCGGCTGGCTGCGCAGTCAGATTCCTGCTCTCTTCCGGCTGGGAGTGGAGCTGTGCAAAAGAACAAACTAAATTTCTCAAAATTTTCTGTGTGGGATCTTTGCTCCAGCGAAAGCCAGAGCTGCTCTAAGCCCTAGCATGGCGCTGTGGACAGGTGCCCAACCCAAGGCTGTACCTTTCTGCGGGGTTGGGAACAATCTTGTCTGAGGCTGGGGGTAATGCTTGACCTTTGCCATCCCTGAGCTTGGCTAGTTTTCTGTGCCTACAGCTGGGACTGGCCCTTGGGGTCCCTGAGAATCTGCTCATGAGCCAGGAGAACTTGCTCTCTCCATTTCACCATTTAAATCCTCATGCTGCTTTGTGCTTAAAGTGATCTTAAGTGTGTTGGGGGGGCGGGCTCTGCCATAACCTGGGAGCAGCAGCTTTGGCAAGCCAGGAAAAGTGTCCCTCTGTGCTCCGGCTTGATCTCTTTCAAAGAAACCTTGGCTGGGTCTGTGACCCCCTAGCCCCACACCACCCCCAAAACATGCACACACTAACTGCTGCTGGCTGGTGTAGTGCAGCCCATTCCTGCTTGTATTTCTGGGCAAAGGGCATCTCATAGCCCCTGGAGATGAAGGATGACACCCCTCATCCAGCCCTGATTCCCCTTCCACCCAAAGCTTGGGTGGAGGGGTTCCTGGGGGTGGGGAACATCTCAGAATTAAATGAATCCCTGGCATGCAGCTGGGTTGATGGAGGGGGGCTCGTAGGGAAGTGCAGCTGTTTAAGCAGGCCTGGTCAGGTGTGAAGAGGTGCTCTCCTCAGAGCCTTGAAATACTCACTAGTCTGGTGGGAACTGCATGGTCCATCTCCCGCTCTCTCCTTGAGAATGCACTGGCTTCCCAGGGTAAGGACTGTTGCAGGCTAGCTAGAGGTCAGGAACATCACTTTGTCTCATTCTATTTTGCCTGGTTTGACCTCCTGTGTGACCTTGGGGAGATTGGCTAGCCCTGCCTGGTGCAGGAGCCCTAGAGTGTGGCTCTGGGGAATGAGGACAAGGCTCCTTAGCTTCTGGGTTGGAGGGGACCCGCACTGGTTGCAGTGTGCCTGGGCTGTCCCCAGCTTGGCCGGAGCAGGGCTGCCATGCTCTGCTGGAGACCTCCGTCTGCTTTCAGTACAGTGGGTGGGCAAGAGCCACTCAGGGCGCAGAGGGTTGCCAGGCTCCTTTCTGTCTTCTCTCTGACCACTGATGGCTAGAGATGCAAATCTGGACTCTGGTTAGCTTTGTGCTGCATAGCGTACTGGCTCTGAGAGCCCTGTGCGGGGAGGGTGGAGAGACCTGGGATACTGCTCTCGGCAGGAGAAGCCTAGAACAGAAACCATGCAGCCTGGTGTCCGGATGGCATGCTGCGGGCAGCAGAGAAAACAATCCCTCTGTGTCACTGCCTCGTCCTCCACCAGAAAGTCTGTCCCCTTAGTCACTGCACCAGAGTACTTAGCACGGTCCCTGACTCTTCATGGGGCTCTGAGAAGTCTCTGAAGTAAGCCCAAGGATGCTAACCCTTTGGGCGCCAACCTAATGTTGTTCGTGTGTAGTTCTCCGCGCTGGAGGGAAGCGTGAATTCCCTGGTAGCTTCGGTTGGCTATGCTAGTCTTCCCGTCCCCTCCCCCAACTCTCCTCGAAGGAGCCGTGTAGCACTGCCGGCGCAGAATGGCGGCCGTGTTTCCACCCCGGCATTAGGTGAAATGCTCCCAGTACGTTGGTGAAGCATGCTGAGCTCTTGATCCGTGACCTCTCAACAGCTACACAAGAAACCCCCTTAATGCTGAGGCTACCTGTCCAACCCCTCGCTGTTCTTGGGGGTGGGCAGGAACAAAGGCTCGCACTTGCCTAGGTCTGTGGGAAGTGGGCGGGGAAGATGGTAATGGCTAGTGGAGTGAGAGGGCTCAAAGCACTGTCTGGGGACAGGGTGGTGACTGCTTTTCCCATGGGTTGAGATGGAGAGGAGGGGTCGACTACCTAGTGCCTTGGCACAGCTGGAGAGAGGGTGGTGGCCGCAGCAGCGGCACTTTACAGCATGCCTGGGTTTGTCTCCCCCTGCTTGGCACTTTCCGAGTCGCCCCTCACCTCTGATCAGCCAAGCTAGTCCCGTTCATGCTCCTGTAACACAAGAAGGGGTTTATTACCGGCAGTTGGTCAGCCCTGCCCATGGGGAATCTGCTACAGTACTGCTTAACTAATAGGCACTAATGCCTGGGAAACCCATTGCAGATCCTTGATTTGATTATTCACTGGCCTGCAGAACTTGCCAGTGAAACCCAAGATCCTGGGTCACTTAATTAGTCAGTTGAAACAGAATTACAACTATCTAGTGCACCCTGTAGCCTGCTGGTAAGTGGTGTGGAAGGTAATTTGTCAGGCTATCAGACCTCATGCTGGAGTAAGGTTTCCTATTGCTGCATTTGCTGAGAGCAATGTGGCTGGTGGGCTAGCAAAGTGGAGACTCCCAATTCTACTATCCTTGGATACGCTGTGGCATTGTGACAATATGCAATTGCACAGGGAAGGAAGGAACACCTGGCCCTTCCAACAGTGATGTGTGGCGCTAAGATGGGACTTGACTCTTCCAAGAAAGCTAGTACTGTATTTCAATGTCTGTCCACCATGAGCAGGGTGAGAGCAAAGGGGTGTGAATAAAATAATAGTTTGGCATGTTCTCAGCAAAGGGGGGCAGCATCCACAATCCTCAAATTGGTAGAGCTGCACAGGTATGGAGGAGCCAGACAAATTGCAATGGCTTGTATAAAAGTCCAGAGGATTATAGTGGGTCTCCTCCAAGAGTAACTTCTAGGGCAAGGGTTGTCAACCTGGGGGTCATGGCCACCCCATTTCTAATGAGAGAGTGTCCTTGATCCCTGGAAAGGGGGTGCTGGTCTGGTCTTGGGGTGGAGAGCCATGGTATGGAAAAAGCTAAGGGCTTCTGTGCTAAGACACCTGGCCCCTCCCAAGCAGTCTTCTTCACTAGAGTACAAGATCTCTACTAGTTCCTTGTTGGGTGTAGCTGCCTAATTCCCAAAGCTATAGGACTTTAATTGCTGCTTTGGGAAGAGCATTCCACAGTCCTTGTTTGTCAGACATTTTCCCCTTTCTTCTTCCCATAATTCCTTGTTACACAGGACTTCTCTGCATCACTCAAATTCCTCTCCCTTCTTGTATCTGCATCCTTCTAAGAAGACATGGCCATCTCAAAACGCACTTTGGGCTAAAGTCTTTCCTCCTAGTGTTGCAAACCACACCTTGGGTGACTGAGTGGAGGGGAACTCTTTTCTCCATGTGTACTTGACAGCATGCTATAGAAAGATTCATTTCCCTTGTCTAGCCAGTTACCCCCTCTCCACTCACCCCAAGCAGCAGGGAATCTCACATCAATAGGGGACAAATCTACTTAAACAAGTGACTAAAACTAGCAGTAGGCTTGACATGACTTTGAATTTGGGGTTTGAAACTGACTGGAATTCTAGTCAAGGTTAATGGTGAACCTCTTCCCTGTCACTGAGGCAAGCAGTATGTTATCTAGCATCTAGATCTTCACTCAGATCTAATCCTTCCTGCCCTGCTCTGAGCACTCTATTCTCAGAATGCCCTCAAACTTCTGTTCCTAGATGCGTGCCTCTGCATGGGTGAATTTGGTCTCTTTTTCCACATAACACTGTAAACTCCTATCAAAGTTGGCATCCACAACCACCCTTTAAGCCTCTCTGCAAAACCAGTATGTCCCTCCCACTGAACACATGTACCTTGGCTTATTCTCCTTCTCCCCACTTGGCACTTGTCTGTGTATCTCCCAAATTTAACCTCACTGGCACCTAATCTCAAGGTCCCTGTCTTTCACAACCCCTCCTGATTAGTGTCCTCCATAATCTCATTAATGTGCCTCTCTCCCACTGCTTGGTCATAATGAAAACCTTAAATAGCAGGGCCTCACACTAGTCCCTGGTCTACCTCACCAGACACCTCCCCGAACTTGATACACTGCCACTTACCATTATCCTTTGTTTACATGACGAAGCCAGTCATCCGTCTACATGCCAAGCTATTCTGAACTAACTGATATGCGAAGTTGTCTCTACAGACCTTCTTCCAGCCACTAACTTTAGCTCAGCAAACAAGCTGCTCTAGCGAGCAGCACGGATACTTGTGACATTGGCACACGTAAACAAAACATGGCAACTTACTGATACTGCACTAGCACCTCAGGACCCCAGTGTGCCTGGTGCTGTACAAACAGAACCAGGTGAGCACCCCAGGGCAGGGACTTGCAATCAGTCCTCTATCAACTGCAATGCTGTTTTACCTGCTAGATGGCTGTCACCTTGCCCTCTCTCTGGGGTGGGAGTTTAACTTTCCCAGCTGTGATGGCCAGTAGACCTATAAGAGGTTCCATATAGCTCCTAGCCTGCAGCAAATATAAAGGAGGGGAGAGGACATGTGAGGCACCTGTGAGGTTAGGGCAGAGATCTGGCGAGAAGCAAAGGGATCCGTCCCTGGACTCCTCTTGAAGAGGCTCATCTGCTATGGCCAGCCTCTGGCTAGGATGGCAGATACCTTGCATGAGAAATTCAACAGGAATCCAGTCTCCTTCT